AAATCAAAACGAAAATCAAATTAAGCTTGTTCTTTCTCAAATATAATAATATTTACATAAAAACATTAAACAAATACTAAATATTTTAAAACAGTGTACTTTATTAATTGTTAGTATAATATGAACAATTAATAAAGCGGCTTGGCTCTGCCTCTGGCATTGCTGAAGTCCATGGGCGACGGTAACCACTCACCATCACGTGGGCCGTATGCTCGTCTGCCTACAAGGGCAATAAAAAAAATAGGATATGACATATCTAATATGATAGAATATGATATATCATTATTTCCCCCCTATGTAAGCTTGGTAGACTACGGAACTTTTTTTTGTTTTATTGCTTAGATGGGTGGACGAGTTAAGTGGTGGTGTTAAGGTGGTTGTTAAGTGGTTACTGGAGCCTATAGACATGTTCTTTTTTTAAAATTTTTATTGCTTTTATGGGTGGACGAGCTTACAGCCCACCTGGTGTTAAGTGGTTACTGGAGCCCATAGACATCTACAACGTAAATGCGCCACCCACCTTGAGATATAAGTTCTAAGATCTCAGTATAGTTACAACGGCTGCCCCACCCTTCAAACCGAAACGAATTACTGCTTCACGGCAGAAATAGGCAGGGTGGTGGTACCTACCCGTGCGAACTTACAAGAGATCCTACCACCAGTAAATATTCCAACTATGGATGGACGGGGTATATCCAATGATACCTATACCACGCCAATGTATAGGGATAACAATGATTATTTTATTATACGATAAGTATGAACAATACTCGTGTAAGAAAGTATTGAACCGCCATCCAAAGCGGAGTCAGCTGTTTCTTACCCACTTATCGCCAACGCCACTAAACGCCACTGATCAGCTGTTTTGTAGCCCGGTTTAAATCATAAATAATTCATCTCTCAAGCCTTAATCAAAACTTAAAAGTTGATATTAGATCTTAAGCTTCTCGCTATCAGCAGTGAAAAAGTGATTACTATTAATTTATTTATTTGTATTTATTATATATGACATGTTTCAAATATTCATTTCATTTAATGTATCACTGTTGCGTGGTCTTTCAGTTTTTAATGTACAGTCTAGTTTTCCAATGAGGAAACCGTCTACCGATTTGATCTTAATAAAGAACAGCAGCGAAGTGCTTTGAGCTTAAACAGACAATGGCGTCGTAGACAGTATTATTACCTTGCATTTTTTGTATCATGTGAGACGAATATAATTTGATGATATAAATTGGCAACATCCTTCGTTAAACACTATCAGGAAACACTATCATTATATTTAATGGGAAATTGCATAGATAGAAATATCTGCCGATCTTCCCTGTGCTTCTATGATTCATTTCGAGAGATAAGGGTTAATACGCAACCGGGTTCGACAGGAAGACCAATGTTGACGAGCTCATGTTTGATATAGTTATATGCCACTAAGTCCAGCTAGAACCTCATCTTGATTTGGGTATTCGGAGGATATGTGCCGCTTGTTTTAACTTGAAATTTACTAGTGGCTAATAATGGTAATAACCGGGAACAAGTTACACACAGTCATCTGGTCCCAAACTACGATTCCCTGTACTGTAATGTTGCCTGTACACGAAACAGAGACTGATATATACTTAAATCTATATATTAATACGCGAAGCAAAAACTTTGTACCCCTTTTTACGAAAATTGCGTGGACTGACTTCGTTTCTGATACATTTAAAAACATTGTTACTAACATCCCGACATTTTCATATTGGTGGCAGAGAAAGCTGTAACGGGTTGATACCATAGTTTTGTCTATTTTTGACAATTGCCATTCTGGTTCGAAGAATGCAATGCTCAGAATGGATAGCAGAATTCATGTTGTGATATCTACGGTACCCGGTAGCAGCTTGGAACAGTAAACTCATTATCTATATATTAATACGTGAAGTAAAAACTTTGTACCCCTTTTAACGAAAATTGCGCGGACGGAGGAGTATGAAATTTCCCACACTTATAGAGAATATAGAGAAGGAGTGCAAACTGTTAATATTTTTTTAAAGACGTTTTTTTTTTGTTTATGCACATATTTATTTAAATATAAACTTTGTGGTCATATTGAGAATAGATTAATATTGATTGTCCTTGGTGTAGCCTTGGCGTAATCTGTGATCATAGAAGTAATAAATTCTTTGACGATAGGACCATACTCATATTCAAACTTATAATATAATAATAGTTATTGTCGAATTTATTATTTATATATACGAATTATTGGCCACAGTACGTTTAAGCACCTTTTCATCACACGAATGCTCTCTCGCTGAGAATCGAACCCACGACCATCGGTCCGGCAGTCAAGTGTGTTAACTAGTGCACCACCGAGTCAGTCAACGAAACTGGTTTCCGGGTTGGGTTTTTCAGATTTCCTTCTCCTAGCGAGATCGTAGACCAATGCTAATGACGCCTATCTCACCAAATTACACGAGGCACAATATAAAGCCAACGAAGACCTACTATCCGTTATGTCATACATTAAAACCCGCCATCGTTATTTAATATATACATATATCTATATCATGACCGTGATTTTAATCTTTAAAAGCTTTCTTCGTCATACGGTATCGAATTGAAAGGCAATTATCGTGTCACGGTAACAATTACAATGGGTTATCATAATTAAATGGCGCACAAAACATTTCAAATCTGTGCTGCTTACCGTCAGGAGTAGTAGTAAGGAGTACCGTCTTCAGGATTTTAAATCGTCGTGCCCTAAAGGATAAGATGTCCATTCGGTGCATTCGTGTCTTGCGATGCGTTGAAATACGTACTCAGCAAATTCACAATTTACTTCCACGGTGAAGGAATAACATCGTGTAATAAAAATCAAACCCGCAAAATTATAATTTGCGTAATTATTGGTGGTAGGACCTCTTGTGTGTCCGCACAGGTAGGTACCACCACCCTGCCTATTTCTGCCGTGAAGCAGTTATGCGTTTCGATTTGAAGGGTGGGGCAGCAGTTATAAATATACTGAGACCTTAGAACTTATATCTCGAGGTGGGTGGCGCATTTACGTTGTAGATTTCTATGGGCTCCAGTAACCACTTAACACCAGGTGGGCTGTGAGCCCGACCACCCATCTAAGCAATAAAAAAAAAATCTCAAGGTGAGTGGCGCATTTGCGTTGTAGATGTCTATGGGCTCCAGAAATCACTTAGCACCATGTGGGGCTGTGAGCTCGTCCACCCATGTAAACAATAAAAAAAAATCCAATTGTAGGTTGCAGCAACCATGTCATGGTAAAACTTCAAATCAGCTATCATTTCCTTTGAAAGTAATCCGGGACTTGGATTCAGGGCATGCTAACCCTAAAAATGCATTATCATCGAAATAAAAATCAAGTAAAACTTCGATTCAGTAGGTAGGACAAAAGTGAAGTTATCATTATTTTTACTTGCAAGGCTTGAAAAGTACATTGCGTGTAACAAAAAAAACTGCAACCCAGCTTTAGTATCGCTAAAATTGTTAGTGCAGGAATAAAAACGGTTTGCAGCTTCAGATAGCTCTCCCTTTAATTAAATTTGTAATATCTGCTTGAGTAATAATTGAGAATCATTTTATGCGCGAACGTTCATTAAATGAAAATTGTAAAACAATGCAAAAAGAAACTTTGACTGCACACCGTGTCGAATTATGAACTGAAGGAATACGCTCTAAGCTTTACAATTATAGTCTTATGATCAGAACTTATTACCACTTATCGCTCAAGGCGTATTCATTTCAGCGGGGAAATATATTTAAAACTCTTTGATTAGCCACGAGTTAACTTGACGTCTACCGCGCCTCTACCCGTCTTAAATTTAAAACTATGTGATTGGGCTTGAAAATTCATCCTTTGTATGGTTTACGTTAATGTAAAGAATCATTAATTTGGATTGCATATGTTTTTTAAACAATTTATTCGAAAAAGTTCGAGGTCCACATGCTATTAAATGGTTACCGGAGACCATGGGCGTGACAACGGTAACGTCACCAACAATCTGAGCCATGAGGCGGAAGTCTCCATTGTATTGTATATTGTCTCTGCCGTTTTTAAATCAGAAAGCACGATTGCTTAGCGGCAGAAGTAGGAATGATACTGGTACCAACTTGTGTAAGCTAATGCATGATATAATTAATGCATATGAATGAATGATAAGTATAAAATGGGTATAAACTGTGAACAATACTTTCATCAATACAAAAAGATAGGATGCATACCAGTTTGATTTTATTCATAGACTTATTATTCAAAAAATCTTAAAAATCCATCCAACAATTCATTCATGACTCAGCGTACTAAAATACAAACAAACAAAAAGACTTTTAGGAATGATAGATTGACAGTTAAAGATGTAAAACTAATAAAACCTTTCAGCCTTTTGATTCACGTATTAAATTAATTTCAGTGAATTGCTGCAATTTCAGTTGTTTCCACTTCATTTATTTAATTACGAATAATGTCACTCTCGCTTTCGTTATCAACAGATAAAACAGTAACAGTTGTTTAGTGACAAACGAAGGCTAAGGACCTTTATCATACAAATTAAGTAACATGCGCATTCATTACGGAAGNAAAACCTTTGAGCCTTTTGATTCACGTATTAAATTAATTTCAGTGAATTGCTGCAATTTCAGTTGTTTCCACTTCATTTATTTAATTACGAATAATGTCACTCTCGCTTTCGTTATCAACAGATAAAACAGTAACAGTTGTTTAGTGACAAACGAAGGCTAAGGACCTTTATCATACAAATTAAGTAACATGCGCATTCATTACGGAAGCAGTCACGGCGGCATCAGTGAGAATTTTGCTAATTGGCTGTATCTTTTAGATAAGCAATAAAATCAATGGATAGGACACTGGCTGCATCTTCAATTTATGCCGATGTGGATTCGCGATGCGCTGGGGTCCGACGCCGACCCCCGCCACCAGAGCTCATATTTATACGGTAAAGCGGACGCTGCAAAGAGTTCAAACGTGCGTCGGGCGCTCGGAACAGTAGACGGACGAAAGAATCGCAACGCGTGGGTAGACGAGGGCGAGTGCAGTGTGCAGTGCGTGCGGGTCTTGTGTCGCTGAAAGCTCGCGCCGTGAAGCCTCCGCGGCGTCGCGCGAGCGCCCGCCTCGTGCCAGTGCCGGCCCGGCCGCGCCATCAGAACCACGCTCCGACAAATATTAACTATTTATTAATTACTTTTGGACAGTGAAACAAACACTGTATTGAGTACTTTGCATTATATCCGGTCGAGCGATCCAGCCTTCGAGAATCTATTAAGGGCGAGTGTGGTAAGTTACACACATCTTTTTGTACAAAAAAAAATCGACACACTTATTTATGAATTATTTTTAATTTATTTAAGGATATTAATTACATAGACACATAAAATAATACAATATAATATTAAAAAGTATTGATTAAAATGAAAACGCTTTAAAACACCTTCAGAGCAGTAGGCGTCCGAAAAAGCCGGTTTTGTGAGCTTTTCCACTGCCTATAACAGTTCAGTCGGCCTTTATCTCTGCAGGAAATGGAAACCACGCATTACTGTATATCGTGAATTGGGCTTATGGGGTTTGGTAAATTGTGAGAATGTTTGTATTTCATCGTCTTTGGTATTTTTTAAGAACATTTTATTTCGTTTATAGTAGATGACGATTTTGAAGATTTTGCTTGTAGTAAGTACTACGGCAACATTTTTTTTTAATAATGCTTTCCTTTCAAATTCAGCTAGGAAAAATATTTCGAAACTATAATTGGTTTGAAATATAAAATAGTATATTTCAAAGCAAATGTGTTTGAACTTTAATGGAAATTTTAATATACTCTCAATTATTTAAAACTCTTCAGTTCCTAATTGTTAAATTATTATTTAAAATGAAATGATGTGTCAGGATAACAATTGTGTTGTAATTAATGAGTATAAATTAAACAAGCTGAGAAAACAGGAAAATGTGTTCGGACAATGCTTTTTCTTTATTGCTATTTTAATAGCATGCAGTAAATTAAACAGTAACGGTTAATAACAATAACTATAATAATATAAAATAATTTTTATAATGGAAATTGTTAAAATAAAAATAAAAGACTCAAATTTTGCTATATTCATAAATACGCACACTCCCGCCTTCTAGAAAAAACTATCTTAACATAAAGTAATTAATTAGCATTTGTCTAGCTTTTGTATTTCTTGATTTTAAGGTTTAAAATTTCGGCAAAGATTTTTCTAGAACAAATCGCGCGTTACCCAGAATACTTCCAATTAAAAACCGATCAAGGTTAAAGGCGCATCGTAACTATTCGATTAGTTAAGTTTCATATTGAAACATTATGAATAGTAAAATAGCGTTAGTCCTCCGCGTGCGATTACAACAAGCAGAACTAATTCAATATTTCACAGTCACCACCTCTAATCAAACGACATTACTATTATAAAAGTGTATTAAAGCGACATTTGAAAGGTCGGTAGGCAGCGGCTTGGCTCTGCCCCTGACATTGCTGAAGTCCATGGGCGACGGTAACCACTCACCATCAGGTGGGCCGTATGCTCGTCTGCCTACAAAGGCAATAAAAAAAGAAAAGATAATACTGTAAGCGAGTCAATTACTCTCTTTGACTGCACACCCAAGCGGCCGGTCAGGAAGGCGACTTAAATAAATCCGAGAATTCTGATTTAAAAGCCAAAGCGGAAACTTATTAAAAGCAAAAAGTGGGCATGGTGCTGTAAAAAGTATTTTCTCAATTTCAATTGAGTATTCCATTCGAAGTACGTGAGAGGTCGTGTCGCACGTCTCACTATATTTGGGTCTCAGATGCTAACTGTACCCAGCGTTCGTTTATCTAAAATTGTAAAAATAATACATCTGATACAACATTAGAATGCGTGTCGAATACCATTACAAAGCGCTTCTCTATTGAGGTTTTTGTTCATGTCTCACGGACAATGTACAATTTCATGAATGACGGTTTATTTTCCTTAGTTATTGAAGGAGCAGGTAGTCTGGCCTAATATTAAGCTGCGTGGGAGGGAGCCAACTTTCCGTCGTTTGATCGCCCATGTTTTCCTTGTTTCCTGCCGTTTCCAAGATACGAACTTTCCTTAATTTAGTATCACGCTATCGCTCTTTTAACTGTATTCTCTTCAATTCGCAAATAGGTTACAGCTACAAGTTCTAATTTACTTTGTTAATTGGAAATTTGTATTTAACAATTACGTGTACATATTTCCAAATTTATATGTACATATGTATAATTTCTTTAGATAAAAACATTTAAAGCTATCGTCTTCCCAATAAAAGTTCACGTCGGATAGTATTACTGAGATTTCCTGCTGCAAGTACTTATTGATAAATTAACTCATGCATTATGAACGCCTAATTAATCGCTGCCTGAGTTATAACGTGCAATGTTTTTTAATAACTAATATTAAAGTCGAAGACGATTATTTCCGTTGCGACAACGTTTAATAGTAATTGCATTCTCCAATAATAATTCTGGGCAAAAATAAAGAATAAACGTAGTGAATAATGCAAAAGAACAAAATACAGAGCTGGAAATTTCTATTAATTTCGGTACATTGCACGTGGACAATTATTATAACTTCAAATGGATTACTAAAAAATTGAGCTGTTCAAGTACAAAAGAAATGGGCTTAGCCCGTGATCTTGACAGCGCGCCGAAGCGCAATTACATCATAAAGAGATAAGTATCAGGCTATGAGAATGCGAATCGTGGGTCGGTGTCGGTCCGGTTGATTGCGCAAAGCTCAGCGGTGGCGTGTTCTGGGCGCTACGAGTTCAAGTGCAGGGTGAAGGTTTCGCCGCCGGCGTCCGTATCCGCTCCCACACTGCAGATGTGGACTTGCCCGCTACGGGGTGGACTCTAAATCTATATATTAATACGTGAAGCAGAAACTTTGTACCCCTTTTTACAAAAATTGCGCGGACGGAGGAGTATGAATTTTTTTACACTTATAGAACACATAGAGAATAAGTGCAGTATACTAATATATTTTTTAATTGTGCATTAAAAAAACATTAAATCAATAAAGAAAACATTACACATACTACCATCTATTTTACATACACACGCATTTATTGTTAAAGGCTATAGTCAAATTGAGTATAGATTAATATTGTTTGTCTTTAATATTATTTGTCTATGCCTTTGACAATAGAACCATAATAATGTTTAAACTTATAATTTCAATTAATTATAGTCGATTTTGACTACAGAGGTACTGCTAGTCATATTAAATACATAACACACTAAGCTAATACAATCTATGCAGTTTTCGTTATTGAACGATTCTTTACGTGTATAATGTTTTAAATTTTGTATATGAATGATTGTGGTAAAGTAATATATAATTAAGTTATTTATGATCACCGACTATCAGAATGTCTTGTTTCCCCAATAGTGAACCAAGAAATATACAGAGATAAGTCACGAGCAAAAAGTGGTAGCACATTATTACCATGCTTAACTTATTTAAGCTGCTTAACATATTTAGGTAGTTAACATTTTTTTCTAATAGTCATAAATTAATGCAGCTGTACAAGTATCGAACAGCATTATAATCAATTGAAATTTTAAATATAATGTTGAAAATTATAATCGGGAATTGGAATATAAAAGTCGAGAATAAAAGTTTATTTTTTTTGAAATCGAATATAAATAGACCTGATCTTATACGCTAGCACGATAAAATAATCATTTAAAAGTATTGATGTTGATATTAACTAAAAACCATCTCTCTTCTTAGTCGCATACTTCATTGCTGAAGGTCGTGTCCCTGAAAGGCCTTCGTGGCTTTTGTACCATCAGCTTCCATTTCCTTCGGTTTTCGGCTTCTCTCAGGGCGGTCGCAACAGAGAGACCAGTGAGCGCAGTTATCTGATCTGATCAACGGTTTGGTGGCCGGCCGACGGGTCTTTTCCCTTCTACCTTGCCCACCACAGTCAATTTTTCAAGGTTGTCGGATCGCCGCCGAGGAATGTGACCAAAGTAACCAAGAACCTTCTGGTAGCAAATCGTAGACAGTCTAAAAACCATACCCGGCGCGAAATCTACCGTGTTGATGGAAAACGCGGGGTTTGGGCATCTACATGCTGTTAGCTTTACATTGATGTTCCAATAACTTTTAACACACTAAAACTATAAACAATTATAACTAGGTAAATAGATGTTATACCTGCTTGCATAAGATACTTGCCTATTTGCGTATCACATTGCGAATTATTCACTCATAAAAGAAGCATCATTTATAAGAATATTTGGCAAAATTATTCTAATTGAACAGCAGAAGCTAAATTCTAAATAAATAAATTTTAAATGTTCATTAAAATATAAACGCTTGGGTAGCTGGACCCAAAGTAATGTATTGAGTACATTCCTGGGCGTTCTTATTGTTCAGCACATGTCCGGTGTTAAGTAGATTCGAATGAAAGTAATATTTAGTATTACAAGAAATACGTATAATTTAAATGTATTAGTTATGAATTATACATATATGCAAAGAAATACTTTTATTACAACTTAATAACGGCATGAAGAGTAAAATATATTATTTTATGTAAATAAAAACAAAATAATTGCATATTGATTATGGCACCCCGGCAAGGTTAGCACTATAAGCTTCCGATTCTTTTGTTTAAGATGTTTTGCGTCGCGAGCACGGAAACACGGTTTGTTGACGGGAGTTAAGTGACTTGCATGACGTTCTTCCGTCTGATGTTCCGACCCTGATGTTAACTTATCTATTTTATGAAAAAAAGACAAAAAATACTTAAATTTAAACTAACGACGAGACTTTGGTTAGGACACATTCGTGTCTTTTTTTATCTTTACAAAATTTAGTGTTGATGCACAAACTATGTATTTGTACTTCAGACTCTTTAATTCAAATGGTTTTTTTTGTTCAGCCGTGAAGATACTTTTCGTGATATTCCAGTAGTAGGATATACTGTGAGCTGAAGTAACTGAATATGAACTTCGGTAATCACCATCCAGATTCAATTTAATAATACGATTTCGCGTAAAGTTTGACTCCTCCTCCGTGCGTCGTGTTCCTCAGTATTGAGGATCGTGACCTTTACGGAATACATACGTAAAGGTTTTCTTGGGAAAATTGCTAGTGGTTCCCGCGTCTTTCCACAGAAATTTCGGCTATTAAGTAATTAAAAAAAAACATAACAATATTTTAAATTAGTACTCCGTCTACTTCCCAATAGTCTTATGACGAAATTAAAGATCCTTAAAAGTTATAAAATGTCCAGTGCCTCCGCAT